GGTTTCGATACCGGGTCATGAGTATCGTGGCGAACTTAACACTTCATTGCACATTCACGAGTGTCAGTGGTCTTTCGCAATTCCCATTTAATGTGTAATGTGGGAAAGCTCAGCTATTAATAATTGCTGATAACGTCGAAGTATACTTATACTATAAATAGGTAAAGTCGTCAATTGCAATAGAAAATTCATGTTTATGTAATCGAAAATCCCAACATAAATGTGATTTAGGAAAGGCCTTGCTTGCCCTGTGACCCAAGGACATCGTTGCTGTGTGGAGTAGTGGTAACTTGTGTCGCCATTCAACTCACGACCCGGTATCTAATCCGGTTGGTAGGGCTGATGAGATGATGTAGCCAAGTAAAAACTGCAAGAGATATTCTTTTTGAGGGCATCCCAGTCTCAGGTTTCCTCATATTGTCATAGGAAAACTCAACTATCGTCAGTGTATTACCTTAAATAAGCTAAGGTAGCTGAGTTGTTAATCAAGAATTACGGATAATCTTGGAGCCAATACAAGGCTTGATCTTCTGTTCTCCAGGACAGCATGTTCCGCCTCGCCTCATCCTCACTCACGGCGGGACTCGAACCGTGAAACTTTGCGTCAAATGGTACATACGTGACGGTCTCGTGTAGTCGGGTAATGGCGGTAATACCTCTGCCTGTGGAGCTGCATGCCCACAGACTAGGATTTTTCGGCGGAAACACTTGGAGAAGGGAAGAGCGACAAGCCGTGGAAATGGGAATAATCATCGGTCAGGTAATTTCCAGCCTTGGTCAGAATGAAGAGACCAGATTGGTGAAGACTAAACGCGATGAGTAGTGTCAAACGATAATGTAAATGCTAGTTGAACTCATTACCGTTTCGAGGGAAATTGCATGATGAAGAGATACAAGTAATTCAGGATAACTAGTCATCTAATTATCTCTATATATTGTATATTTATTCAAAATGTGTACTTTTTGGGTAGTGATAGATATAAGGTCGTTTAATTAGTCCAAGCCACATGGTAATCTTGAGCATGTGTATGTATACTTGAGTGTATGTGTGCGTGTACAGATGTATATAAGAATGTGAAACCAGCGGTAATCAAGGTTTAATTAACCTTATGTAATCCTCAGTCCGAATACTTCATGTTGGTTAGGTTATTGGACTATTTTTGTGTATGAACTTAGATGTACATTGAATATGACTGTAACTGGAAGTTAGGTGGGATTGACCTACAAATCTCTTCATCACACACTTTCACTCGAAACAGAAGTGGGCCCAACAATTGCTAGCCAAAAGCTTCCTTGAAGTTCAGCTTTTCGTTGCATCTTCCATGCTTATGCTGCCAACATACGATTTGGCCATCATTCAAGATGACTGAGAAGAAGCTACCTCACATGGTGTCTTCTTCCATAGTAGCTTCAAGTGAATACTCGTTACACAGAGGAGACGAAGCCAGCTCAAGGGCGAGACTTAATTTGAGACAGCTTGCAGGTGGGCACT